AACACTCCAGCTAGCTAAAGCTAGACATACAGTGTGTTTGCTAATGCTTTTAAAAATATGTTTTTGATGTGGATATTCGGACTAAACATTGGCAATAGCAGCGCTCACACACCTGTCACACCGCTGATCCTCCTCCTCCTCCTCTGCTCACACAAAGGGGTCTGCTCCTCTGCTCACACTTGTCTCACTGCTCCTCCTCCGCGAGTATCCATCTCTCCTACACTGCGATCATTCCCGTTACTTTCTTTGTATCTCACTCAGACACTGCTAAAGTTATCTGACAGTTTTTTCGGAGGACCCGTTGCATACATAGCTGCCCGCGCGCCTGCCTGTTTACAAATCGCTTTTGGTGAAAATTTGACTTTACTTGTAAAAATGTTCTTTTGATCAAACGAAATCAAAGAGGTCCAGAGAAAGGGGTTTAGGGTTCCAAATTTGGAGTGCAGTCTGCCCTTTGGGGACCCTTGAACTAGTGTATTTATAAAATAAAATAAAAGGAAGGAAGATTGCGAGGCCCCTGTGTGGTGCGAGGCCCTGTGCGACGGCACAGGTCGCACAGCCCTTAGGACGGGCCTGACGACCATGACCCAATTATGTTGAGTTGACTTAATGACAAAGCTTTGCATAATTTATGACTCTAGAGCGAGCATGTCATCTGTCTGAAGTAGTCTGTTGTCATTAGCCAGAGGGTGATCATTCCTCTCGGGACTAATTGGTCTGATACAGTAGAAACCTTAACGCTTTCATTCAGAGCTCACAGAGATGTCGTCACGCTTTTGCCAATACCACTATATTGGTATCAGAACATAGTTATTGGTTCTGATACAATTCTGGCCTATAGGGATGTCCCGCGTGACGTCACGCCATTTGGATCAGCCATTTTGACGGTGTAGAAATGAAAAACCGCCGGGGATGCTACAGGTAGTAGCGAGATTTTACTATCATGCCGGAGCGATGCTGTGCGGTTGGATGCGACCAGAAACGTGATCTGACAAAAGGAATATCTTTATATCGTATCCCAAAAGAAACAAAACGGAGAAACCAGTGGTTGGCGGCAATAAACAGGCAAAACGCTGATGGTGGTGTTTGGCTTCCAACTCGACACATGCGGCTTTGCAGTCTTCATTTTGGATCAGGTAAGTTTTCCCATCGAAGGCTAATGAATGATTTCCCTGATTTCGGGATCATATGTTATAAATTCACTGTTGCCATAGAAATCCGCGATGTTTGTGTGCACTATCATTCAACAGAATGCAAGATTGTCGTTAGCCAGACACACGCATCAGGCTCCCATTTTACGATAGAATTTTTTATTTTCTTCGCGTTAAAAAGAAAATCAATTGGTAATCAAACGTTTAGCTGTCGCTCTTTTTGATAACATATTGTGCATTTTGTCACGGTTCTAATGGTGTATGGGTTGACTACTTTTGTTTCTTCTGTAGCAGTGAAAAAAACCTACCAATATTAGCTGTTAGCATCAGTCACAACTGGTAAATACATTTGGCTAAAAAAAACAGCATCGCACACTCAAGTAGCCGATGTCCAATTCTTGATGATTATTACGTTTTGGCGTTAGCCTGCATCAGATCACTGTTTCTTTCATCTTTGAACCACAGTGTATGTGACCACAAAGAATGAAATAAGAATGATCTGATGCCCCAACGTTATCGTCATGAGAAATTGGACATTGGCTACTTGAGTGTGCAGTACTGTTTTTTTGATTTATGAAGATTTTCATCATTTCAACATCTGCACCTCTGAGATTACTTCTGTTGTGCGTTGCTTCTCTTTTTTTAAATACATGTAGCTAACACACAGTAGCTAATGTCAAAACGTTTTTATGTGAACATTAACACCAGTATTTCACAATTTAGAACCTCTATTCAATTATTATTGAAAAACATGACATAAAAGTCCTGAACTGTATATCAGAGAAATAGTTACATCTGTGTACTTCCTCCAGAAAATTGACTGTAATACCATTGAACAAATAAATGACCGAATGTTGTATTTTTGGTTGCAGGTGCGAAAAGTGATCATCCCTACCACCCGGACTATGTGCCAACTATATTCAAGCATGTGTCAACACCAAAGAAGAGGAAAACTATGAATGCAGTGGCAAATTTTGACAGGAGGCAAAATTTGAAACGTCAACGACTGCAAGCTGGGAAAGTTGATGATGCAGTTCATGGGTTGCTCCAGCTGTCACAAACTGATGATGGTGAAGACTTGGATGAGCAAGCGGATGCTGGATCACTAACAAACGGTTTAACACACTGCAGTAGTGACCAATGCAAGAGATATCTAAAGATTTTGGAGGATGAATGTCAACAGTTAAGGACTGAAAACATGGAACTAAAACAGAAACTGCAAAATCTGAAATTCGACGAAAAAGGATTTGAAAATGATAATGACAAAGTTCGAATATTAACAGGTTTTCCTTCATTCCAAAAACTCAAATTGATCTATGGCCATGTACATCCATGGCTAATGTCCAATGCTTCTATCCCCCCGTTTCAGCAGTTCATCTTCACAATGTTGCGTTTACGATTGAATGTAACATTGACATTTTTGTGTTACATGTTTCACATAAGTAATTCTGCAGGTTCAAGAATATTTCAGAATTGCACTAATATTCTGTATAAAATAATTGTACCTTTGTTAGTTAAATGGCCAGGAAGAGATGAGCTTAGGTTAACTTTGCCATTCTCATTTCGAAATGGATTTAGTCGATGCACATGCATTATCGACTGTTTTGAGATATTTACAGAGAAACCTCAGCTCTATTTAGCAAGATCCCAAACATATTCTTCATATAAATCACACAATACTATGAAATATATGATTGGCATTACTCCACAAGGTACTATTTCTTTCATTTCAAAAGGGTGGGGGGGCCGGACTTCTGATAAACACATTGTGCAGAACAGTGGCTTTTTGAATAATTTACTTCCTGGGGATCTGGTATTGGCGGACCGAGGATTTGATGTTGGAGATTCAGTTGCTCTGTTCAATGCCGAACTGAGGATACCTGCATTTACTAGAGGAAAGCAACAACTGGACCCAATAGACATAGAAAAAACTCGAGGGTTAGCATCTGTGCGGATCCACGTAGAGCGCGTAATTGGCCATATAAGGCAAAAATTTACAATTCTTGATGGACCCATTCCTTTGTCTTTGTTAGAGTCTTTGAATGGAGAAATGCCGTTGGACAAAATTGTACACATTTGTTATGCCATTACAAATCTTTCTGAATCAGTTGTACCATTTGAGTGAAAAAATGTGCGATGATGGTGTACTACAAGGTCCCCAAACCCAAATATATGAATTACTTTTGTCATGCATTTGAAATGTGGTCAACATATGTCTCTTGTAACAACAGTAAATGACAATGGGTTGAAATATCTTTTTTCATTGGCAAAAATTTGGGCAGTAAAGTTTGCATTGATTTCAGTTTGTGACATAAGGTACAAGTAAAATGTAAACAAAATATACAATAAAAATGACATGGAATCATACAAGGTTACTTTACTTCATTCAGTTTTTGTAACATGTCCATGACATCTTGTTAAATAAGTGCATAGTGTACCAACTTTAAAGATACATGTACTCTAGAGCAATAACAAACAGAATAATAAAAATACATAGTATTGATCAGGAACAATAAGTACAACAATCTTGTTCAATTAACTTGGTCAGTAGAGAGAAGTAGATACCATTTTTTGTGACATTCTTTTTTCCTTGTTTAGTTTTGTCCTACATCCAGGACAGAACCACCTTTTAGGTATTTTCCTTATCTTTAAACAGTCTGCATGAAACATTTTGATAGGACATGTAACCGACATGCAGGTCAGCATTGACTCAGTGGGGGCTCTTGGCAATAACACACCTTTTCTTTATCAGTATTTTCTACCCTCTTAATTGGGCATGTGATTACCTTTGCTAAAAGATTTGGTAGAATAACAGACACATAAAAGGTCTGCAGTTCTGAAACAACATTGAGAATGAAATCATGGTCAATGTAAATTCTTTCCACAAATAAATCATTGTCATTGTCATTAGCCGTGAACACAATAAAATCACAGTAATTACCTTCTGTTGTCAACAGTTGTGTCTGAACCTGATAGTAATATTCATGCTGCCTACTTAATTGCAGGTTGCCATTTGCATCTGATATTAAGCAAAATTTGCTACCTGTGGCAGCCTCAGTGATAGTCTTGCTTTTTGCTGTGAAAGGGCATTTAATCTCACAAATACCCTCTCCACAACAGGAACATGAAACACTGGCATCGGGGGATGCACCCATAAAAGGGTATTGAGGACTAATCCGAAATCCAGCATCAGTTATAATGAAATAATTGTAGTGGTTTACTTCGAATGTCAATAAGAACTTTCACAGGAGCCAAGAATAAAAATTAATATAATGCCTTTATTAATTCAATTAACAATACAGGAGAGACCCGTCAATCATGCATGGAGCTCGCTCTGCGCAGAAGAAGCTCCCCGTCACTCCTTGCTTTCCTTTTTAACTGCTCCTGTCAATACCAAATATGGACTCCCACCGCTGCGACCGAATAACAGGATCCAGATGTTTCCTTAATGACTATTACCAAACAGAATTCTTTACCGGTCAACAGACAGTGTTCAGGTCAGGCCGACCCAGCGCTTCCTAAACATATCCCAAAAGAACATTCCATTGCACTTAGGAAATCATAATATTTGTCAAACATTCTACCACATATTTCCCCCCCTTTCATGGCTCCCAGCCATGAATTAAGTTCCTTCACTAACTTTTCCTCAGCCTTAGCAAAGTAGTTACATGAGTTACACAATAATGTCAAACACTTAGTAAATGAGAGTAAATGAGATAACATAACTTTCAAACACTTGATACATGATACAAAACAATATCACTCTTGAGTGTAGGCGTTGGCAGAACTTGGCTCGCACTTGCATTGTACATTATTTTGATTAAACATGAACTTAAGATGGACGAGTGGTCAAAAAGTAGGTATACTGTCACAGTCCATGGTCTTTTCATCGTCCAACGAGTCGTCCTCCGCTAACCAGTCCTTGATGGGGAACTGCTCTGGTTGGCTACTCTTGCTCTCCGCATTCAGCACTAACATCTGTCTTGTTACCCCTCGCACCACTACTGCTCTCAATACCGGAATGCAACAGCAGAGGACAAGACTTATTGCCACAATGCAAATAATAACTGGTACTCCAATCTTCACCAACCCCAGTTTCCATGATCCTAAAGTCTGCTGTAGCCAGCCCAGCCAGTCCAACTCTGCATCCCTTCCAGCATTCTTCTTCATCTCCAACCTTAGAGCCTTGATTTTCCCCATTGCCTGTGTGAAAGCTCCTCCTACTCCTGTATGATCGGGAATAAATGTACAACAGTATTCACCCACTAGGGCACAGACCCCTGAGGTCTCTGCCAAAACCCAGTCTAAGGCCTGTCTATTCTGCCAGGCTACAGCACTAGTTGCATGCAACTGCTCTCCCAGGGCTGACATGGCACTATCCGTGTAATTGATGAACTGCTGGAAATTGTAGTAAATGTAGTTTATCCACTCAGTGTTTTTATTTGTGGAGATCCAGGGTAAAATGGATTCAAACCCTGACTTAATTTCAGATCTTGCCTTAAACTCCTCCGGGATCCCTCTAGGCTGCCCAATACTGTCTAAATACACACCAGGGTCTGGTCTGAACGCCCTCTTCACCCTCTTACTATCACTTGTTTCCTCCCCCTGTGGGAAAACAATGAGCTCCTGCACCACCTGCACTCTGGCGCATCTTCCGGACCAGTTGCCTGGAAGAACAGGAAACAGTACTTGGCCTCCACACCACCAAAAGTGATCGGAGAGAGGCGTTACCTGACTATGGAACGGGCAGGCAGGGACATACACAGTCTCCAATTGGGGTCCCTTAATCTGGACAGCTCGCTTCAGGGTAGACTTATTACAGTTGGCATTTACATTCCAGATGCTAACTACACTTAGTTGCCTTGACTTCCCCCAACCTTACTGACCCTGTCTTTTCTATGCACTCGTACCGGCCTACAGGAAAGAATGCCACACCTCCCGGGGTCCCCATTTTTGCGCTCTGCATGCTTACTCTAACGTCTATCTCTGCACAGCGTTGAGTGTTTGTTTTACCTTTGTGCATAAACTCAACCTGCTCTTTGTACTGCGGGGTTCCCAAATACAACAGGCACTCCGCTTTACACCATACGCGCAGCGGGTCATTCTCTCTTACTGCTGTGTCACTACACTCCTTCCAACTAAACACAGTATTAAAAAGGAACAAAGGATCGGCCCTTGCCTTTGTACAAACGTAGCAGTCAGTCATTCCATTTGTCCGGCCTGCATACTGAACCCACTGATACCAGCTGTTATACTCTGCGCGATTTAGTAGTCTATCTGGCTCTACCTCCTCGGTCTCATCACCTAGCCCTGCACCAATTCTCGAAACAAAACCTCCAGCCGCCTGTCCTATCCCAGCCACCGTCCTGTGAAACCAGTCCGTCCAATTTAGGTTAGTCTTAACCACGTCACTGATCTCTGCAGTTTTTAAATTCATTCTATCCCCGTCATGCTTCTCCATTGAGTTGTCTCTCCGTACGTCAGTCAACAGTACGTCAGGATGTCGGTTTTGGCCATCCGGGACTATCAGGTCAGCCCTACTCTGTCCAGTCAGGTCAGTGTCTGCCTGATCATTCTGATTGTCCGCTAGGCGAGCTATGTCAAGGTTGGTAGGGTTTTTCTGCTGTATTTGGGCTCCAGCATCAGTTTTGTCAGTCAGTTCTGGTGAGTCCATCAGTCTCTTTTGGATGGGTGACACCTTTATCACAGTCCGGTCCTCTAGTTCTGAGGGCTTCAACAGTCTCTCCTGGATCGGTGACCCTCTGGATTGTGTCCCCTCTTCCAGTTCTGAGGGCCTCAACAGTCTCTCCTGGATCGGTGACTCTCTAGAAGCAAGTTCAGTCCCACGTTCTGTGTGTAGAGTTCCGTCACTCTGTCCTGTTTTGTCTGGGCTGGCGGGTAAGTCCACCCGCATGCCTTGGTCTACAGTCATGTGGTCTTTTTCCTCCATCTGTATAACAGTCTCGTCTTTGTACCCCGGAGGGTTCAATTTAACTTCACGTTCCTCAATTCCAGTTACGAAAAGCTTGGTCCATCCCACAACGTATGTCTGTGGTAATTGTCCTTTCAATGGGTCAAATTCCACCCGTACTAGCCACACATCGCCTTTTTCCTTTATGGCAATACCACAGTCTCTTTCACCCCACGTTGACCTAATCATCTTCTTTCTCCCAAGTGACCAACCGATCCCACACAGTCGATAGTCAGAAGTTTTCACATAAACATTGAACGTGGTCATGTCATCAGTCCAGATCATAAGGGGCATTTGGGCAGTCCAGCTCACGTCTTCTTTGTATGTTCTACTAGGGTCTGTGTACGACCAATTGTCCTCTAGTGGCCATTTATCGATTGCTCTTCTATGTCTCTCGGCCAGTGGGAGTTCCTGTCCCTTCCACCAGGATGACGTCAGGGAACTCAGCGGTACTATCATGGTCATTACCAGCACCACGAGGATCCTCGTTCCCCCCTTCCAAGGACTCGTCGCCTTGGCAGCCATGGTCATTCTTCTCCTTTTCCTTTATGGTCTTTTCCTCGTTGCCGTCAGCCGGGGCCTTGACGCAGTGGTTTAGGTGGTACCACGTCGGTGATCCCTTCACCTGCACCGCTGTTGACGTCGCGTTCACGACCTCGTAGGGACCTTCCCTCCGTGGAGTATGCCACTTCCGTCGGAAGGTTTTCACATAGACCAGATCCCCCGGCTTCACTGCAGGTGGCACCTCCTCCTCCTTTGTCTGGCTCTGCACAGAGTTAATACGAGCAAAAATACTCCTGTGGATGTTAGACAACTGTTTCACATAGGATTTCATGTCATTTGTTAACACATCAATAGGGGGGCCCTTAGCAGCTCTGTACACCGGTGATGGCATTGGCCGACCAGTGAGCGCTTCATGCGGGGTTAGTTTTAAGCTTCTATTGGCGCTCCCCCTATAGGCCATCAAGGCAAGTGGCAGTGCATCCACCCAATTCAAGCCGGTGTTCATGCAAATTTTTAGTAGTTTGTTTTTTAGTATACCATTCGCTCTTTCAACCATCCCTTGACTCTGAGGATGATAAACACATCCTAACCTTTGCTTGACTCCTAACTTTTGCAACACACATTTTACGGTTTTGTCTACAAATTCCCGGCCGTTATCAGAGCTGATACGTCGGGGAAGCCCAAATCTAGGAAAAACCTCCCTGCACAAAAACTTTGCCACTGTGTCTGCATTCTTATTTTTTGCAGGTAGGGCCTCAATCCATCTACTAAATCTGTCAATGACAACCAACATGTACCGTTTACCTTGCACTGGTCGAATCATGTCAACATAATCAATGGTTAAATGCTGAAATGGTCCTTCAGGAGTTGGAATGTGACCGGCGGGTGGGGTCATGCCCCTGCGAATGTTACTTTTTAGACATATTTCACAGTGACTAATTACATCGTCCACGTGCTGCTGTAGTTTTGGAGCCCAGAAGTTCCACTCCCTTATCTTCCGCAGCACTTCTCCTCTCGACTCATGAGCCAACCCATGAGCCTCGTTTATCAACAAGGGCAATAACCCGGTGGGTGCAGCAAAGAGCCCTTCATGGTTTCTCCAAAGTCCTTGCAAATCCTTAGAGGCTCCTCGCTGCAGCCACAACTGTCGCTCTGCTTCTAAGACCTCTTCTTGTAACAACAGTAGATCCTTGTGTGTTAATTGTTCTTCTAGGTCTATCATGTGAGTTACCATTATGGCATGAGCACCTGCCGAAGCTGCTTGCTTGGCTGCCTCGTCAGCTGCTGCATTGCCTCTCGTGATCCACGAGCTGTCTTTGCGATGAGCCGCACATTTTACAATAGCTATTGCTTTTGGCTTCATCATGGCTGTCAACAATCTCTTTATCTGATTACAGTGGTGGATTGGAGAGCCGTCTGTCTTCCTGAAACCTCTTCCTTTCCATGCCGCCCCAAAAATATGGCACACACCGTGTCCATATGCTGAATCAGTAAAAATATTTACTCTCTTACCCTCTCCTTAGCTCGCATGCGCTCGTCAGGGCCTTCAGTTCCGCTAACTGTGCAGAGCACGGCTGCTGGCAGGTCTCAGTTTGGACAACTTTTATAGCGCTGCCTTCCATACTTACAATGGCATACCCTGCTTTGAGTGCCGCCCCATCTCTGTAACAGGAGCCATCCACAAACAATGTCATGTCTGCCGACTCCAAAGGGGTTGCATTCAAATCAGACCGCAACTTAGTATAATTTTCTGATTCAGTCACACAATCATGAGGCTCTCCCTCAAACGGTAGTGGGATTGAGTCCGCAGGATTTTTCACCTTACACACGCGGATTGTCACATCGGGATAATCTACAAGTAAATGATACTCTGTTAATCTTTGTGCCGTTAACACAAACTTTCCCTTTTCAAGTAGATTCACCAATTTATGATGTGTCATTATTTCTATGGGGTAACCCATAGTGAGCGCTGACGCTTTTTCGTATAGCAGGTGGGCTGCTGCCAGATTCTGGTAACATTCAGGTAGCCCCATTTCCACTGGGGACAATGCTACAGAGTAGTAAGCAATAGGTTGAGCGTGTGTCCCCACATTTGTTTTCTGGGTCAGCACCCCACAGGCATGATTTTGTCGGCATGAAATAAACAGTTGGAATGGTTTTTCATAGTCTGGGAGGGTTAGCGCTGGGACCTGCTGCAACAAAGTCTTGATCCTTTCAAAAGCCATATAACCTTCTGGAGTCCAGATCACTTTTCCTCTCAGGTTTCCAGCCCCCTGTTCTTTAATCATTTTTCTCAGGGGCTGGACAACCAGGGAGTATTCCTCAACCCATTCTGAACTATAACCAGTCATCCCTAAGAATGTCATCATTTCTTTGACTGTTGTTGGCCTAGGAGCCTGTGATATAGCCTCGAGCTGGGCCGGTGAGACTGATCGGGACCCCTCCCTTATCAATCTCCCCAAGTACTCAACTTGGTCTTGACAATATTGCAATTTCCCCAAGGACGCCTTATGTCCTTTTTCTGCGAGCATGGTCAGCAGAGTCACAGAATCTTTATGGCACGTTTCCAGATCAGGTGCACACAAAATAATATTGTCGACATAGCTAATTATGGTGCTGGACACTTTGCCTGACAGTTCTGCCAAATCTTCTCTCAAGATTTTATTGAAAATATGGGGACTTAGTTTTAGGCCTTGTGGTACCCGGCGGTAAGTATAGGATTGATTTCTGTATGTGAACGCAAATAAATGCTGGCTTGAGGGACTTAATGGCACACTGAAAAATGCAGAGCACAAATCAACCACAGTGAACCACCTTGCATCAGGCGGCACATTTGTTAACAGTGTGTGTGGGTTTGGGACCTCAGACTGACAATCCTCAATCACTTCATTCAGGGCACGCAAATCGTGTACTAATCTGTATTTACTTTTGTCTGCTTTTAATATTGGCAATATTGGTGTGTTACTGCACGGGTTTGACTCTTCCACCAGGACTCCAGCCTCCACAAGGCCTCGAATTGTTTTTTCAATTCCAGCCTCGGCCTCTGGTTTTAAGGGGTACTGCGGTCTCCAAGGGGGTCTGCACCCGGGTTTGAGCTTAACCTCAACTGGCTGTGCTGTCTTAATAAGCCCTACGTTAGTGTCATGTTTAGACCACAATTCAGGTGGTACAACAGATAACATCTCTTCCTTGAACTCTGAGTGTTGCTTACAGTTTTCCAAGTGGCACGGGAGTCTGGTAACCTGTGGCTGAGCCCAACCCGATGAGGAGATGTCTACGTTGATATATAACTTGTCCTTGCTTAACCAAATGGTTTTGTTTTCAGTGCACATATAATCAGCTTGCATTGCCTCCTGAACCATAGGACCCAAATGCTTAACTTTATAGTCTGGATTTACTAACAATGTGACATGTGGAAGGCTGTTCTTCACCTTAAACTCTTTTTCTAAATATGCACTGTTCTCAACAACCATTGCTGCTCCCTGTTTCCCTATTATGATTGAATATGCCTTAATCTGGACTCTACCTGGCTGTTTTCCAAGCCACTCCTCTGGACATGCTTCAGACTTATCTCTAAAAAATTGTAATGTGCAATGTGCAGGGCATGAAGGTGGTGAAGCCTGGGGCAGATTTGCTTTTATAAAGTCCATCCATGTGTTTGTGGGTTCCATTAAAGTCCATCAAGATTTCCCAACCAATACACAACTTCTTCTTCAGGGTTTAATGTCATTTGATAATGTGATGCTTCCACAATCACTCCATCCGGTGAGCACAAAATAGCACAGTTCAGCTTACATAACGCATCTCTTCCCAACAAGTTTATCGGGGTTTGCTCTGATATTAATACTGGCAGTTCAATAGTCTTTCCTTGAAAATGCAGGGGCACTGGGTTGGACAATGGTGTCAGCTGCTTGATCCCTGAGAATCCAACAATGCGAACAAACTGTTGTGACTTGGGAAGGTGGCGGGAATCTGGTTGCCCCACGCAGGTGTAGGCTGCGCCTGTGTCTGCCATCATCTGGACTGGTTTTCCCGCTAGTAGAACCTGCAGCATTGGTTCCTCATCAGGGCTTGATGTTGCCGCCAGCTGATGACCTTCCCCTGGATTCTCAAGGCATCCCTAGTAACCAGCAGGTGGTCCCTGCCATGAGTTTACAGGGCCTCTTGCTGGTGTTCTGCCAGAATACGGTTCTTGGATCTCGTAGTAGGGATCCTGACGCGGCGGTTGTCGGCAGTTCATTTTCATATGTCCGGGTTGTCCGCAGTTATAACATCTTGGGGGGTCTCTTCTCCATCCTCTGCCTCGGCTTCTTCCAGGGGAGTAGCCTCTCCCTCTATTCCCTGCTTGCAGATAAATCACTTGCGGCGCTGGGGCCGGTGTTGGAGGCAGAAATGGAGGGACTGGTGGTACAACATCAGCAGACACTACGGCTTGTATCTTCTTTTTCCCAGATGACAGTTGTGTCTGCGTTAATTTCCTCACGGTCTCCTCATCCTCCAGCTTTTGTCGTGCCTGCTTTTTGCGCATTTTTGCGACTGCATCAACGACATGGTCAGTAAACTGTTCAAATGTCATGTTGTACAGTCCAACTGCTTCATTCAGTCTGCTTTGCGCCGTCTCGGGCAGCCCTTCGACTATCCGCTTCCTCAGGGCTGTCCTATGGAAGATGTCATCCTCCGGTTTTGCACCTGTTTGCTTGATCCACTCTTTTCGTGTGTTATGTACGTATGCCTGGGGACTTTCATCTTCTTTGAGGGGTGCCGTAACGATGCTGTCAGGCTGGATTCTGACCGGAAACTTTTCCCTCAGTGCAGTCCATAGCTGATTGCGATATCTGTTGAAAATGTCCCCATCATTGGCTTGGGTTCTGACATACTGCTCCAGTTTTGCAGTGCATAACACTTCTTCCATCTCATTCTTTCCCAGAGTCTTTCCCCAAATTGCCTTTATGTCTCCCATGGCGATAATGTTTGCAATGGTCTCTTCTTCGAAAGTCGCAATCCATTTACTTGCACCATCATGTAGGCAGGGCAGACGTTGTATCAGTCCTTCTAAGTCCATAGTGGCCCAGGGCACGTACTGGAGATCCCTGCCTTTTGCTAGCAGCGGATATTCTGATCCCTCCAATATAGTTGATGTGACAGCTGGTTCTTGTGAAACGAATGACACTTCTCCATTTAGTATTCCTCTTTCCTGTATGGCCCCTTGACCGTTGTTGAATGAGATACGAGATCTTCTCGGAGGTTCAATACGTGCGGCGTCGTTGGCCTCTTCGGTTAGGACGTGGTCATTGGACAGAGATCGTGTCAGTGTGCTTTGTTTCTTCAAGATGTTTTTCCAGGGTGGGATCAGTTTAATCTCCTTCTGACTCGCCCCTTTCTCCATTTCTATTATGCTCATGTCCAGTAATGAAGGCTCTTGTGAAACCTTTTCGATGATTTCCTCTTTCTCACTAACTTCCTCCTCTTCTATATCCCCTTCTAAATCACCATCTATCCCCTCTGCCCTTCTTAGAGACCTTTTTACATCATAGCTGTAGCCACTGGCTCTCCTCCCTTTCCTCCCCTTCCAGGGGAGGAGCTCCTCAGACCCCTGCTCCACCACAGGTGTCTTTCCTTCAGTGAGCACTGGGTACAATGCATTTTTATCAGACTTCAATATGTAATCACCACTGAATGATAATTTTCTTAAAGGCATCTGAGCGGAGTATGGTGGAGGATTTGCCAACTGTTTCTTAGTAGTCTCATCTCTGGCTGTGACTAATTTGTTAACGTGTTGCTTGCATGCCCTCCACAGAGTTTTGCCTGATTCCTCAAACAGTTTTAACACCATAGATTGTTTTTCCCTTTTCTGTATGCGTTTTTGTGATTTGTCCTTTGGTTTGTATGTTTTAATTAAAATTTCCATTTCGTTTGCCTTCTCCAAATCAAATGTACCCTCTGGTGGCCAAGGTGCCTCGTGATCTTTTCGTAATTTTGTGCCATTTCTCAGAGCAACTTTTTATTTCCTCTGCCAAGAGCGGGTACTTTTTTCCTAGAATTTCTACTGGGTTACAACTTTGCGCTTGCATTTGCTGCTGTGGGGCATTACCGCCACGCCCAATCTTACAGCGCCTCATTGTTTACTTAGGTTGCTTTCAATAATACTATATGGGTGTAAGCCAAAATTTAAGTGGGAGTTGTGAATTTAACAATGAGAGAAGCTTTTAATATCAGTTCAAAAGCAAATTGTACTGTTTAGGAGCAACCCACAATCTCTCAGTCGGTAGTATTTAGAGACAAAATGTTTCACAGCACAACAATGACAGCTTGCCGCAATTCAAAAATGCTGTTTAAACAAAACCTGGTTTGTTTGGACAACAGAATATATTTTAAAATTGTGTAAAAATTAGGTAATACAGCCTTTGAAACCGTCAACAAAATCCTAAGAGCAGTCCCAGCTCAAAGTTACGCCTCCGTGCTTTACTCAGAGCACAGGAGACGTGGGAGAGCAAAGGGTGGGGGCCGTCTATGTGTGTGTGTGTTTATGTGGCGCAGATGGACAGAGCCAAATGGAGATGCAGAGTCACGGAGAGATACAGAGCAACAGTTTCTGTAAGTTCATTTCAATAACAGCTTATGGAATTTTTCAGTTATTCAAAGTTAATTTCAATCATGTTCAAGCCAACCTTTTGATTTCAACATTAACGACACAAAGATTTAATCTGCTTGTACACTAATGTATATAATGGCTAAAAAACTTTTCACTATAAGATCAACACGCAGGAATATAATTTGACACGCGTACACGATAACAAGACAGGACAAAGATACACCAACCGGTTTTTAACTTATTTACAAAGCGCTTTGTGTGGGAATGGCCATTTTTCGTTTCTCATAACTCATAACTCATAACCCCGGAGCCCCGTAATAACAGATAGTTGTCCCCCTTTTAACCCAGGTGATCAGCCCAGGGTTAGAAAGACCCTGTTATTGATTTAGGACGACCTTTCCGGATTCACAGATCGCTCAGCCTACTTATATTTTTGGGTCAAAAGCTCTATTTTTCTCACACAAACACGGGGCTCGTGCCTGTTTATACTCGGTCCAACTGTCAGACCTCCGCGCTGACAGTTCCCACAAGGAATCCGAGAGGCACGATCTCGCAGTCTCTAACTCTCACGACTCAGAAATTTCCCGACTTACGTGTTAAAAACACAACGTGCATTTGCCAATAGACTGATCTCGCAGTCTCTAACTCTCAAAGTCAAAAAATTTCCCGATTTACATGTTCAAAAACACTACGTAGTTCCAATGGACTGCCATAACTCACTGTTTCTTTTTACTTCCTTTTTCTATAACAACATTAACCACATACATTCAAAACATTCATATATTAGTAAATATTAAACAGTTTTACATGCGATTGCCTGGTCTCCCCAACACAGGACTTTTTAAAGAGCCAAAAAGGGTCTTACCAACACCAACTTTAGCAACCTCCGGTACAAAAAACACCCAAAATATAAGCAAAATTGCTTACCTTATTTTGTGGCCACTTTTTGGGGGTTCGTTGCGTCGGAGGCCGCCGGTTGGTATTGTGCCAGTCTTCTCTTGGCTTCTTTAACCTGCTTCCGTGACGCCAATTTGTAGTGGTTTACTTCGAATGTCAATAAGAACTTTCACAGGAGCCAAGAATAAAAATTAATATAATGCCTTTATTAATTCAATTAACAATACAGGAGAGACCCGTCAATCATGCATGGAGCTCGCTCTGCGCAGAAGAAGCTCCCCGTCACTCCTTGCTTTCCTTTTTAACTGCTCCTGTCAATACCAAATATGGACTCCCACCGCTGCGACCGAATAACAGGATCCAGATGTTTCCTTAATGACTATTACCAAACAGAATTCTTTACCGGTCAACAGACAGTGTTCAGGTCAGGCCGACCCAGCGCTTCCTAAACATATCCCAAAAGAACATTCCATTGCACTTAGGAAATCATAATATTTGTCAAACATTCTACCACATAATCATGACTGGTTCTCATATTGATTTCATATAATTTCTTTGCTTTTTTTTCTTGACTACATCCCCAATTGGTTGCTTCGCTTGAAAGTTTTGCAGACATTGGGTCAAAAATTTTATTGACAAGTGATTTGGAAGGGTTGTGAACAGATGTACTTAAAACTGCTTTGACAGAAGAAGCAGTGATACGACCTGCTCTTTGTTGGTACCAAAGTCTACAGTTTGTTTGCTTCCTTGTTTCAAACTCAACAAGGTCTGACTGACTCTTTGTGATTTCAATTTTTGCAAAAACATTGTCACTTTTTGTCAGTAGTTCCTCATTTGTCAGTTTGCGATTACTTGCATCAAACAGATCTGTGAGTGGTTTTGGAATATTTGAGTTGCAAATGCGTGGGACATATGAGTTAGCATAGCCTGGTATGATTGATAGAATAGCAGGCTGTTGTAATGACTGGAGAATCAAACGTGCAGACAATTACAAGATTTATTACAAACATAGGTGCAAGCAGGTAGCAGTGGTGGCTGGGCAGGACTGAGCAGGGCTGGAGGCTGAAGCAGGGCAAAAAGCTGGAGGATGACTAGGTCTGGACCAAAAAACGAACCTGGGTCTTGTAAGTTTAACTGACAATCTGGCACATGGTGAAGGGTGAACCAGGCTTTCAACAGGTGAGGCTGATGAGCTGCAGGTGTGGAGGGCTGAGCAAGGGGCAGGACCAGGACTCCAGACACTCCGCCCAGCTCCAGGAACACAGGGGAGGAGGGAGAGCGCACACACACACACACACACACACAAACCCTGACAATACCCCCCCCCCTAAGGGACGCCCCCTGGCGGACCACCAGGCCTGCCAGGAACAGCCCTATGGAATTCCGCAATCAGGGCTGGGTCCAAAATACGGGCCCGGGGCACCCAAGAACGCTCCTCCGGGCCATACCCCTCCCAGTCCACCAAGTATTGCAAACCCCTACCCCGCCGGCGCACATCCAGGAGGCGACGAACTGAAAACACAGGGCCACCATCAATCACCAGGGGGGGGCGGAGGGGGACCGGCAGGAGGGCACAGATCACTGGACCGAACAGGCTTTAACTGGGACACATGGAAAGTAGGGTGAACACGAAGAGCAGAAGGTAACTGAAGACGAACAGTAGAAGGGCCCAAAACCTTGGTTATTACAAAGGGACCCAGGAAACGAGGGGACAGCTTGCGGGAATCAGTCTTCAGGGGTATGTGTTTGGAAGAGAGCCAAACAGACTGACCTTGCTGGTATTGAGGCGCAGGCGAACGGTGTTTATCAGCTGAAGCTTTGGTCCTGGCTGCGGTCCGCTGAAGAGCCGCACGGGTCTTCCTCCACACGTTTTGGCAACGTTGGAGATGGTGTTGGACCGATGGTACTGCCAGATCCAACTCTTCGGAAGGGAAAAGCGGTGGCTGATAACCCAAAGCAGCTTGAAAAGGAGACAGACCAGTGGCCGAGCTCAAAGAGTTATGAGCATACTCTATCCAAGGTAAGAACGTGCTCCAGGAAGTGGGGTTCGAGGAAGTGACACAACGGAGCGCAGCCTCCAGGTCTTGATTGGCACGTTCGGTCTGGCCGTTACTCTGAGGGTGATAACCAGAGGTTAAGCTCACCGTAGCTCCCAGAGCCTCACAGAAAGAACGCCAAACTTGTGATGTAAACTGCGTGCCCCGGTCAGAAACAATGTCGAGTGGAATGCCATGGAGCTTGAAAACGTTACTAGTGAGGTAATCTGCTGTCTCTTTAGCTGTAGGCAGTTTAGGCAAAGCAATAAAATGGGCAGCTTTGGAAAAGCGATCTACTACTGTGAGTATGGCTGTGTTACCTTGGGATGGGGGGAGGCCAGTCACAAAATCCACTGCTATGTGTGACCAGGGGCGTTTGGGAACAGGTAGGGGTTGAAGCAGACCGGAGGGCAAGGAGTGGGAGGCTTTGCTTCGGGCACATATTTGGCAGGCTAGCACAAACTCTGTGTCTTTGTCCACAGTCGGCCACCAAAAGTAGCGTTTCAGCAGGGACAGGGTACGATTAATCCCAGGATGACAAGCGAATCGTGAACAATGAACCCACTTCAGTACTTCAGAACGAGCACTATCGGGAACAAAAAGAGTGCCAGCAGGACCATTACCTGGGTCAGGCTGAGTCTGTTGAGCATCTCTTACAACCTTCTCAATGTCCCAACTCCAATCCTCTCGGCTATCACTCGAGAGGATTGGATGATAGGCTCAGGCTCAGGCTCAGGAACAGGAGTGGCTTCTTCTCGGGAGAACTGGCGTGAGAGAGCATCTGGCTTTACATTGCGTGAGCCCGGACAGTAAGTGAGGGAAAAATTGAACCTACTGAAAAAGAGGGCCCACCGTGCTTGTCGCGAGTTCAGGCGCCTTGCAGATTGGATGTAAGCCAAGTTTTTGTGGTCCGTCCAAACCAGAAACGGATGCTCCACCCCCTCCAACCAGTGGCGCCATTCTTCTAGGGCGAGTTTAACGGCCAGAAGTTCTCGATTCCCCACATCATAATTCTGTTCTGCTGGTGACAAACGTCGAGAAAAAAAAGCACAGGGATGCAGGACATTTTTTGGGCCAAACCTTTGGGAGAGTACAGCGCCAACTCCAGTCTCTGAAGCATCCACCTCCACAACAAACTGGCGAGAGGGGTCTGGTTGAAGCAGCACCGGGGCAGAAGTGAACAGTTCCTTCAATGTAGCAAAAGCAGACTGGGCTTCAGAGGTCCAACAAAACTGTTTGGAGGGAGAGGTAAGTTTAGTCATGGGTGCCACCACTCGACTGAAGTTCTTAATGAACCTTCTGTAAAAGTTAGCAAACCCAATAAACCTTTGTAACTGCTTTCTGGTGCTCGGCGTGGGCCACTCTTGCCACCGCCCTCACTTTTTCGGGGTCTGGTCTCACCTGTCCGCTTTCAATAACAAAACCCAAAAAACTGACCTTTTTAGCGTGGAATTCACACTTCTCTGCCTTTACAAAAAGCCTGTTTTCGAGGAGTCTCTGGAGAACTTGACGAACATGCTGCTGGTGTTCTTGTAGGTCCTTAGAAAAAATTAGAATGTCATCCAAATAAACAAATACAAATCGATTAAGGAAATCACGCAAGACATCATTGATTAGGGCTTGGAAGACAGCCGGGGCATTAGTTAAACCGAACGGCATAACCAGATACTCAAAGTGACCAAGGGGAGTATTAAAGGCGGTCTTCCACTCGTCACCTTCTCTAATACGTACCAAATGGTAAGCATTCCTGAGCTCCATGTAACGGTGTGAAGGCAGAGTCAATAAGCAACGGGTATTTATTACGGACTGTAATACCATTCAGACCCCTGTAATCTATACACGGTCTAAGTGTTTTGTCTTTCTTAGCGACAAAAAAGAATCCTGCCCCCACAGGTGAGGAAGACGGCCTGATTATCCCAGCAGCAAGAGAGTCCCTGATATAGCCCTCCATGGCCTCCCTTTCTGGTTTGGAGAGGTTATAGAGGCGGCTGGAAGGAAGAGGTGCACCAGGCAACAGGTCAATAGGACAGTCATAAGGCCTGTGGGGAGGAAGTGAGAGTGCCCGACTCTTACTGAAGACATCACCGAGGTCATGGTAGACTGTAGGGACAGAGGACAGATCCAGCTTTTCCCGTTCATGTAGAGTCTGAAGCCCCCCTACTGGTGACAGAGCAAGATTGAAGACAGTGAGCATGGCAAAAAAACACTCCACTCAGACACTTTTCCATTGGACCAGTCGATAGAGGGATTGTGTCTTACTAGCCAGGGATGTCCTAAAATAAGTGGAGGGAGCGGAGATGACAAAAAACTGCATCCTCTCTTTATGGTTGCCAGACAAAACTAATGAGATTGGCTCAGTAATGTGAGTGACCTTCGCCAACTGACTGCCGTTAAGAGCCAGTGCGGTTAAGGGCGTTTCTAAAGGTTCTAAAACAACGGGTTCTGATTCTGAACCCGTTGATTCTGATTCTGATTCTGATTCTGACAAAGCCTGCCTGCTCTGCCACCACTTGGTCCAAAAAGTTCTCCTCTGCACCAGAATCAATGAGAGTTTAATAGGCAGAGTCAAAGTCTTGTGACACAAAGTTGCAGGAATTTGAAGTCTTGAGTTCTTTATTTTTGGGTGAGGATTATGGCTCACCAGTATTCCCAGACCTACTGGTGAGCATCCCCACAGTACAGACACTCACCCGCCTGGCGGCGTCGTTGTTGGCGCTCCTCTGGTGTAAGCCGTGCTCGGCCCAATTGCATGGATTCCTCCACAGGGAGAGGCGTAGATGGGGGCGCACGAGGGCTTGGTTGTAGTGGTAGAGGCTGACGAAAAAAGGGAGTAGAAAAAGGGCGTCTCTCCTTGAGACGACTCTGAAGGCGGTTATCAATCCGATTAGCCAGTGAAACCAGAGATTTGAGGTCAACTGGATCATCACGAGAAATTAGTTAGTCTTTTAACTTATCACTCAGCCCTTTAACAAAAACAGCTCTGAGAGCACTGTCTGTCCAATCAACTTCAGCAGCCAGAGTCCAAAATTCAATTGAATAATCAGGCCACTGACCTTGCACCTTGAGAGAGATTCAACAAGCGACGAGAGGAATCTGCTTGATAATCCGGATGGTCAAAAACACGTTTAAGCTCAGCAACAAAATCATCATAATCAACGTGCATCCATAGAAGCTGGTACGCTGTTGAAAAACAAAAACAGACGTACATTGAAAAAGAAAACCACGGCAGTGGCTTGGCTGACCAGAGTATGGTTCAGGGTCTGAACACCGAGACTCCAGGGAGGGAGCAGAGGCCGAAGCCAGAGTAGAAGCAGCAGGGACAGGTGACTGAAGAGACAGTAGGGGCAGAAACACTTGGGAGGTTAGTTGCGATACTTGCTGTGCCAGGGCGTGGTTGCTCTCAAACAGAATTCGGATACTCTGTTCATGATGACCAATCATGGATCCTTGGTGCGAGACAGCTTGTTGTATTGCCGGAGGTTGGGCTGGGTCATTGTCTGCTTGATTCATGGTGGCCAGATTGTACTGTTGTAATGACTGGAGAATCAAACGTGCAGACAATTACAAGATTTATTACAAACATAGGTGCAAGCAGGTAGCAGTGGTGGCTGGGCAGGACTGAGCAGGGCTGGAGGCTGAAGCAGGGCAAAAAGCTGGAGGATGACTAGGTCTGGACCAAAAAACGAACCTGGGTCTTGTAAGTTTAACTGACAATCTGGCACATGGTGAAGGGTGAACCAGGCTTTTAACAGGTGAGGCTGATGAGCTGCAGGTGTGGAGGGCTGAGCAAGGGGCAGGACCAGGACTCCAGACACTCCGCCCAGCTCCAGGAACACAGGGAGGAGGGAGAGCACACACACACACACACAAACCCTGACACAGGCTTAATAGGTTTGGACTCAGACTTGCATGTTTCAGACAATTTTTGATAGAAGATTTGTTCCTCATCTGGAGAAAGAGGAGGAATATCAGGCAGCATATCTGGCTTAAGTCTCTTGCATTTTGTGAACTGAATATCCTTGCCTTGTTTCGGCTCAATTTTGGTGATCGACTGTATGCCTGACCACTTGCACTTTTTGGAGGTGACAGAAACGGATCGTTTCATCTCAGCTTGAGCCAAAAGATGGAAGAGAGTTGCAGACACATGCGAGCAGGCTTCTCCCAATCCAGCCATGCAGTTGCAGTGAGCAACTTGCACAGATCCATCTGGATTAACAGCAACCCAGGGATGAAGAGGGGGTTCATTCACTTTCATGGAATGTTTAACCTAAACATAAAACAAGACATATAAGAATACAGTTTGCAGTAAACAGTTGCTTGCACATGATTGTCAATGGCAGTGCACAGCATTGGGCCTAATCCCATACATGAATTCCAAGATCAGTTATAATTTCATAATGAAATTAGTATTATCACATCCAATTCTTTCCTTAAAAAAAAAAGAAAGGTTAATGCTGTGTTTTATTTGGCAAAATAAATTAGAAATTAGAAACACAGGTTGGGACAACAGTCTCACTTACTGTTCATTATACTAGTCAGTGTCATTGTAATATGATAGGGCTTTGACTTTTGCACAAAAATCATATTCGAAGTTCGTATTATTATTAGAATATATAATCAAACATTTAATTATAATTAATAAAACGGCTCCTCAAAGCTAGCTGTTACCACGCTCACTACACAAATACCAATCAATCAATCAACACCATTAAATGTTAATCGGACAATACAGTATACATAGACATCCCTAACACAAATGCACGGACGTTTTCAGAATTATTTGTTCACGTTTTCATGACGAAAATACTGTTTTAATGTGACAAAAATAAACCCGGAAGTAACCATTAACATGAAACGAACATTTTTGGACACATTTGAAGAGGATCTGATTATGGATTTAGGTTCGGTATAAATGGGTAACTCACCGCTGATGTTCAGAATTCTTTGTTCAGTTTTCATGTAGTTCCAGAGAGTTTTTGAACAAGCTAGCTTAGCTGTTACCTGCCTAGCACGTCCAGTGAAACCTTTGGGAGCTAACTATTTTATTCACAGTCATTAAATACATTTCGAACATTAAGGGCTGTCTAATATTCTAATTATATTCGAATTTCGAAGTCAAAGCCCTATAATATGATAGTTAAAAGTAACATATTTTCGCTTTTCTTGGATCAAATTAGATCCAACAGACATACCTAATCTTGTTGGTGATCGTATTTTATGTTTATCCCAGTTAAGAAAAAGGTACTATACTTTGGTGATAAAAATACATTAACCAACCTTTGCAGTAATGACGGAAAAATCCTTCCCCGCTGGAGTCCAAATCAAAGAGTGGCTGACCCATCCGGACTCGTGGTACCGATAGCCTGCCAAGCTTTTGTATGCTTTTAATGAAGCTCCGGTGTAACGTGACGGAAAGTGAATCAGGTAGCTGTAGATGTCACCGAACTCAATGTCAGGAAGTATTTCTACACATTTAATGTCTGTAAAAAGAACTTGTGGTGCTTCATATGGATCTACGATTCCCAATTCTTTTATCTTCCTTGTGTATATACCTTTTTCTGAAGCTAAAGAGTGCGATGACATGACGTGAAGCGAACGAGCTATGACAGATTCATTGCTGTGGAGTCGGCGGACTGCACCGTCAAAATGGCCGACACGCTGGTTTTGGTCACGTGACTGGGAGATCCCTATACCCAATTTGAACAATTTAAGGGACTGAAGATAGCAGTGGTCAAATCTCAGGAACATTATTGCTGTCAAGGTGTTGGTTTTATATTTGTAATTGGATTTATTTTTTCATTGTTGTTTGCCATTTGTCTCTGTCCGGGGAGTTCTCTGTTCCCTGACCTGTTGAGAGGTCCTGATCGGAAGTTCACCCATCAACCTTGATTTTCCCACCCGTGTCTACCTGCTGCCCAACAATGACCTTCCCTTTGCCCTCATCTGTTGCTGCTTGACTTTTTAGATATTTCATCTTCGATTTGAATTTGAAAAAACCATTGAACAAAAAATGCACGGACCATTATTGGTTTACTGCATTTTCGTTTTAATTGGATCCACAGAAAACAAAAACCAATATTTCAATCTTACATTAAATTCAAAAATCGAGAATCAAAAATATCCCTTGTTATTTCTTCTTTAATGTGGGTTTTATTTATAAAATCGAATGAACGGATGATACACGGATTTGCATGCTTTTGGTGCCACTGTAAACGATAACATTTCCTAATTTGATTTAGTCAGAATGTGTGTACATTAAAAGCATGTATCTGAGAGAAGTGAAAAGAAGGCATGAGATCAATCAAATTTTATTTATAAAGCGCTTTTCATACAAAAAGTGTAACACAAAGTGTTTTACAGTTTAGTTAAAAACAATCCAACATGCCCAGCCCTAAACCCTCCTCCCCACAGACCCCCCAAAACCACATTTATAATTATATATACAACCACATGCGTATACACACACACACATATACACACACACACACACACACATACACAAGTATAAAGTCATATCAGGTAAAATAGGTAAAACAATAAAAAGAAATGGGGCTGGGTGCAGATGTAACCGGCTGAAGAAGCGTCATCCAAGGAGCCATCCAAGGAGCCATCCAAGGAGCCATCAGCACCGGGTTAACCTCAAGCCCCACCAGGAGCTGTTCAGGGCCCAACAGAGTGCCTAGCATGGAGGAGGTACTCTGTTGGGCCCCATAAAAGTTCCTGTAAATGGCCCTGTGGGGGAGGTTCCTGCTGTGGCCCTGGAAAATTACCCAGTTCCCGCGGGGGAAACGCGGCTATGTGACCTATAGCACAGGTGCTGCTAGGTTTGGAGGTAAGCTGTTTTTGTATTACGTTATTGTGGATTACTGGTTATAGTGGCCAATAAAGAACCTCTAATACAACATTTGACTGATGTTTGGAAACTCTTAAAGCAGTCAAGAGGAAATCAAAAGGTAAACATCTTTGCTTCTACAGCAGGTTGGACACATTTGGGTAATTATCTTATTGTTCTGAACATAACTTAACTTTTACAGGAAACACTCTCGCTTCTCGGGCCACATAATCATGTAGGATTTTCCCCTTGTTTTGGTGTGCTTTTGCCTCATGTTTATTCTAAAAATATGCCAAGTACTTTAGCTCAATAAAACTACTGTCTGGAAGTTAAACATACTCTGTATGAAATCCTGGGCTTATTTCAGCCAATTAACCGACTTGTTGCATCAAAATAATAGGTCTACTTAAAAAGGGGCTATCCTTATTTTCTGATAAAACACGTTAAAAACATGTATTTCCCACCTTTGCAATGGGTTTTTGTGTTATAGATAAGGAATAAATCAGTAAAATAACTTTTTAATATTGACGCCTCTGATTGGCCAGAAAAATGAGGGTCGCAACTCCCGCTTTACTGTTTATGGCATTGCTCCTGCTGCCGCTTAGACACAAATAAACCTTAAGTCAGACTGACTTAAGACTTAAGGAACTATCCTTATTGAATACTTTTTTTTTTTTTTTATAAAACACATTACAAACATGCATTTCCCACCTCAGCAATGTGTTTTGTGCTATAGATAATTCATAAATTAGTAAAATAAGTTTTCAATATGAACGCCTCTGATTGGTCAGAAAATGTATGACGTACAGTAGTTGTAGGGGTCGAAGCTCTCGCTTTAGTGTTTACAACTGTGCTTCTGCTGTGACACAAATAAGACTGTAGAGAAAAAAAATCCTTAAAATGGGTGTATTTTGTACACCCAGGGACTGCTGAGCGTAAACAGCAGTCCCTACGATCTTTGACTTATTCAGAGAAGGTCCAAACAAACTGAGAGAAGACACCAGCGCGAGCTCCATGAAATTAGTTCTATCAAGCTCCAACTAAAACCAATTTTACGAGTTTCAACCCAGTATTCAGCAGAAAACACAACTGTCATTGAACCATGAATCCATGTTTCACTCTAACTACGTTTAGTAAAAGATATAGATATGACACATACCATCATGTTTTAGACTTTAGAACCACAGACACACGTTTAGTATAAGACTTTAGAACCACAGACACACGTTCAGAATAAGACTTTAGCCCACAGACACATGTTCAGAATAAGACTTTAGCCCACAGACACACGTTCAGAATAAGACCATAACGCTACATGTTTGCATTTGATTGAAGACACCATTTCTCTCAAACTCAACATCTGGAGCTGGGACATAGAGTTGAGGCTTCTCTCACAGTGTTGTGGGTATTGACGCGTAAGCAGGTGTTAGCTGATAAAAATTAGCTGTAAAAATAGTCCATCTTGTCAAACCACCTCCAGACTTTTCAGTTCTGTCACTTTTACGGCTGGGATCTTTCATTTCACAGTAGTCACTTTTACGCTTCTTAACTTTTCTCTACACTACGATGTCCCTGATATCCATTCCTTCGTCCCTAGCGCTACCTTCGC